ATTATAATTAACCATAACTTATTGTTATGTTAAATCTTTAAATAAATCTTATTTAATTATATTTATCAATTATTTATAAGAAACAATTTTAAAACATTCCTTCATTATTATAACTGGGATGACCGGAATGAAAATGTTAGCACCTACTTTGCATTTTTCACATGATAACTAGCAATCTTGTGAGGAATTGTATTAGGCCTCAGTAACCCATGAAGCGCCCTTTTGTAACACAATAATAATGATTCATCCTTTTCTACTGGTTCTAGATAAGCTTGCAGAGGATAACACAACTGAAAATGAAAAGTTATGATATAATTTTTTTTTCTCACACACACTGCACAAATAATTATAAATTACTAAAAGTAGTTATGAGCATTGAAAAAAATAAGTTATATTAATTAATATATTTGATTGTCTTATTGTAATTTTAAAAGAGTTCATTTTCTGAGTATGGATCCGATGGCATTATCCAAAACATTTTAAAAAAATCTGATTTTTTTTTGTTAATTTGTAATCTTATAAAATAAGTTAAATAAAAGTATAATAAAAATAAATGATTAATTATTAGTGATAAATTATTTACCTTTTCTTCAGGGCAATTTAAAACTCTTAATAATCCAGAATGTTCTGACCAAATTTGCTTTCTCCAACAAATGTCGTGGCAATGTGCTAACGGAACTAGTACACAAGCTGAAAACATTTCATCCCCATAACTAACAGCTTGATAATGTTCCAGAAGTTTTGTATATAGATCAGTAAAACTGCTTAGACCTGTAATTAAATAAAACATTCTTTCTAAAATCTGTTTAAGCAAAACATTTAGTATAAATTACAAAATAATATTAGTGATTACCTTGTAATGGCTTGTTAAAGTCAAACGGTTGAGTAGGCACAATTTGAAATATCTTCGAAATGCTTTTAGCCAACAGAGGTTTAATCTCTTGATCCAGGAATAGCGAGTTATGGCATAAAAACACACATAACAATCTGCAAAATCTATCAGTTGAACTCATATGACTTGCCTGTTCTGGTATATATGATTCTGATATTATCAGCCATTGAAGGCAACATTTAATAATATCTTTTTGCTGGTCTAAAATGCCACACATTGGATTAATTTTTATTGAAATTCCTTGCATAATCAATTTATGTAGTTAAGTATATACCTTCTTTTGCATTGTTGCCTTTTTCATGATCTTGACTACTGCTATAAAAACCTAATATTGGCATATACGTCCAATCCAAAGGCAGAATACTATGATTCCAATCAGAAAGTGATAAATTATTCGTTGGATACTGCAGAATTTAATACAAACAAATTATATAAATAGGAACTTAACTAAATAGAAAATTAAATTAAGATAGTCACGAGAGTTTACCTGATCTAATCCTAAAACACTGATATAACATTCACAAGTATCTTTCAAATTGTCCAAAAGATTAAGTTCATTTTCTAAATTTATGTTTTCCAAACGCCTTTCTTCAGGAAAATAGTTTTTATTGAATATGATCTCTCTCATTATAAATAATAATTCCTTTTGAAATTCTTGTGATAATAAATAAGAGAGTTTATAAGCAATTGGAAAAATTATATTTCTTTCCATAATCACTTTCAGAGATGAAAATTTTAGCATGTTTGTTAATAAAGCGTATTCAATTCGTGTGTACCAATGTGAAATCATGTGTAATTGTGAAGTTGCAATGTTTTTCAGATAACTTTGAATTGATCTGTTATTCAGTAAGACTTGACAAGCCTGAAATTTAAAGAAACTTGAATTTACAAATATTAGGAACATAATGAGAAAAAATAATGTGAAATTAACCTCATGATTTTCCGTGGTTAGAATATATCTAGTTAACGATGCTAAAAATATAATTGGAGATTTTGCACATAATATAGGTGTCAATAGATTTTTGCATTGAGGAGTACAAGCTCCTATCTGAGTAGCACAAGGTCGAGGGCGTTCTATTTCGGTTACATTGGATAAAAGATTAGAATTCTCACTGAAATATATTAATTTTTTTTCATCAAATTTAGATTATTCAATTATATCATATTTACAAAGACAAAAATAAAATTAATTTACCATATATCATTACACAATCTCTCAAAACCGTTGGATTGAATCATTTGCTTTATATATTTTTCATTAAGCATCTTGATTTCTTGCAAATTATATGCGTTTTGCATATTTCGTTTTGATAGTATATTAGACAGTGTATTATAAGCTGACGTAATCAGTCTCAGGTGTCCAGACTAATACAAAAAATTATATATAGACTGCTAATTAGTACTGGTATATCTAAAACTTCTTACCGAGAATTCATTAAGTCTAACAATTTGTTGAGACCAGTTACAAAGACCAGAAACTAATATTGGTACAAATTGCACAGCAATTTGACTCTGAGATATCAAAGAAAGCAAGGCCGCTCCATGAGAATGCAGAAGAGTATAACTATTTTCTATAATATGGGTAGCACGCACATGATAATCCATTTGCCTCATAATTATAGGAAACATGCCACTGTAATAAATTGAATAAAACATTTAGAAACAAAATAAAATAATTGATTAAATAAAACTTATATATCTAAAGATAAAGTATTTAATAAACTCCTATAACATCATTGAGTAGAATTAAGTAGAATACAATAAGTAGAATTCTTGGAGTGAAATTTTAAATTAATTAATAAATATTAACCATAATTTTTTACCAAAATTCTTGTTGAGCAATTCCGTAAGAAAGAAAAACAGCCCATGTATTCATTGCTTCTATTTGTAAAGTTACTGTTGATGGATTAACTTCAATAACAGCACTCATATAACATTGAATTGCTATTATTACTTTAAAGTATCTGCAAAAAAGTGAGAATTCAATAATTCAGTATTCTGGTCAAAATTAAATTAAACATTTATTTGGTAAATAATTGATATAAATGCTTTACCTGGTGTATATATCATTGGCAATAGTTGCAGAATGACTAGCCATAATACGTATTAATTTTAAAGCCAATATTACTGGTGTACCATATGCAATATCTGATCTACCTAGATCAAAAGTAAAATACTCTTATGAATCAAATAATTGCAAGTCAAATATAAAATTTATTAATATATTCACAAACTATTACCAATATGTTGTGAGGAATTGGGCAAAAACTCATTAACAATTATCTCCACAACTCCTTCACATTTTAGTATTTGATCCACTTCAGCTATAGACTCTCTTGCTAATCTTATGAGTATTTGCAAGCAATATTCAACTGTATTTAAATTTGGGCGAATCGTGCTTAATATGTACCTAAATTGAATTTCAATTGTAAGTATACTAAATTTCTAAATAATTTATTTGATTAATTATATTAGATAAATTATGGAAAAAAGATACACTAAACTAAATTATTTTACCTTATTCTAGGTAATATATCAGTTCTTAAGGCACATTGCACAATATCGTTTTCAGCAATATGATAATCAGTCATTTCATCTTCTTCATTTTTTTCTGGGATATAATTAATCAAATCTTGATCATTTCTTGATTCCTTAGTATTTTGCCGAGTTTTGGTAAGAGGGCTCAATAATGGTTGTTTTAAATCATCAAGAAAAACTGTACTGTCTAGACAAGACTATAATTAAACAAAATATAAATTATATAAACATAATTTAGAACTAAAGTATTAAGTATTACCTCATCAATATGGTGGAAAAAGAAGGATCTCATTGCCCTCAAGGCAGGGTGAAGTGCCGATGTAGCATTATCATCCAAAGCAAATCGTATGACAAAAAATATTTTTGCCAAGGGTAAATCTAAGAACCAATAATTACCCACCATATAGTTTTCTAATATGCCGGCAAGACAATTTAAAGCAATTATTCTTTGCTGTTGAATTTGTGACCTGAAATTTATAATCAAAGAAATTAAAAAAAAATAATTTTGCTATAATTAAAGTGAGAGCAAGTTTTCTATAGCATAAAATGCATCTTCACCTAGTCAATTTAAATAATTCTTTCATGGAATAACCAGGTCTATGAGGTTCTTCACCATGATGATATAACTCTCTAGGTTGGTTGCCTTCAGGAACATATTCAAGTAAAGCACCGGCAAAATCAAAGCTAAAATAAAATAAAAATATATATATATATATTTTGTATTTATAATAAGATTTACTAATTCTAACTTTGAATATTATTTAACCATACCGTGCTTCATAAGTTTCTCCAGGTTTCAATTTAGTTTTAGGGGCAGCAACATCTGTTGTCCACTTTAATTTTTCTGATTCACAGTTATCAAAATGGATCCATGTGTGAGATAGAGGGTGTTTTAAAACTTCATTAGCTGCTTCGGGTGGTTCATTAGTATCAAAATTTATTACAGGTGGAGCATTTTCTAGAATTAAGTATGACATTCATTTATAATTAACTGAACCTTTATGGTTAAATACAGTTCATATATACCAAGGCTTTCACTGAGAGTGCTTTTGTTAATAGGATGCTTTTCTGTTTTCTTCAGTTGTTTCTTTTTCAAAAACTCAACTAAGCTAGGATCTGTAAAAGAAATATGGTCACATATTATTATTATACAAACATTTTATAATTTAAAACTTAATATTAGCCTAATAACAAAGCTCATTATTAAAAAATAGATTTGAGGAATAGAAACTTTACATATTCATAAGCAAAGATGCTTTTTAATGGATTTTAATAGAAAAATACCTAAATTTTTGAGTAACTTTTGCCGTTCTTCTTCAATTTCTGCAGGAGTCATTTTATTAATTATTTCATTATTTTGTTGATCAATAGCATTTCTATCTGCTTCTGATAAAGTATTCAATGTAGATGGTTCACTAACACTTGTACATACATCCATTTTCTCGAAAGCTTCCTTTTTCTCAACATTTCCAAGTTTCAACATTTCTTGAGCGAATATACTTAAATTACTTGACTCATGCTAAAACACAAAATTACTCATCAAATGCAAATTAATTGCAGATCATACTTATCATCTTAAACATACATAGTGATGTATCTTCTTAACCTCAGGAAAATGTGTAGCAGGTTGTGTTTCCATTTCATTTTCATGTGAAATATTACATGACGTATTTGGTCTTTCAATTATATCTCCCAAAACTTTGCCTAAACATCAATGCAAGGTATAGTATATAATAAATAAGCAAATATCATAATATAACAATTAAAAGATGAATAATCAAACCTTTGGGGATAGGATAAAACACATTATCTTCTAGTTTTGACGTTATGTTACTATTACTAGATTGGCTTTCCTCTGCATCTTTAAGAACGTTAGAATAACAACGAGATCGTTCTTCATCATTTTTTGTACATGTACTACGACTTGCTGCAAACTTGGATTTCTTTTTAGCTTGAGTCTCAGGGGCTACAAAATCATATTTCAGGTAAAGAAACATTAGAGTTTAGAAAAATTTAAACATAACCTTACTTGCACAATTTTCTGCAGAATGTTTTCGTGCATTAATTACTTTAGCAGCTGGTTGGATATTCGGATTTTTTTGCTTTTCGGCAAGGAAGGCTGTTTGCATTTTAAGAACGTCATCTTCTTGATCACCAGGTTTGGGTCTATTAAACATTTCCATTTTCACTTGTAAATTAAAAACTAATATACTTTAGAAGTATAAGTTTTGAGCACCAGTAATTTAATCATTGAAGTCTTTAATTGATACTTCGAACAATTTTTAATACATTTTTAATACTATTAACTTATAAGTAGATATGTTTTGTTATTATTAACGACATAGATTTGGTGGTTATGTTATGATTTTTGACGTTTGCGCTTTTGAGGGGTGATGTTTTGCGCGGGTGATATGTTACCAACATCCGTATCCTGTAACTGTTTATGTAGTGGTAAGCCTGTAACTTGATCCCCTGGTTAAGTTATCATCTTTTCACGAACTGTCATTAATCAAAGTTTGAGAATGCTAATGAGTTTGCATAGTTTGAAAAATAAATATAAGTAAATAAAGTTTTGAGCATTTTAATTAATCAATTCGTAAAAATAACAATAATTAAAAAGTGGTCATATAAAATAAATGTGATAAAACAACGCAATGATTAACAATAATGCCAGAAGTTAATTCGACGAAACGGACCAATAGTGATTTTTCCAAAAGTAAGTAAGTAAGCTTTTATCTTTCTTTTTTCCGTTTTTCAAAGTACATAGATCTATGGCAAAGGTTATATAAAATTATCGAATCAGATTTTTTGATGAAAACATAAACTTCTTCTCCGAGAAGTTAATAACTATAATACTCTATTTTAGACTCATGATATTGTAATTCTCTCTCATCAGATATAATCTCATATATATGAGATTTATATAATCTTATATAAGATTTATATAAGATTTTAAGGACGTTTTTAAGTAAACTGCTTTACCAAATTTGGACTCATTCAATTCAGAATGGCTTGAAACGTCGAGAAAGCATATATGTTTTCAAATTTAAATGCCAATCTATGTATTTCGATGTGGGTTATTTTTTCTCAGTTTTGTGCGACGATCGGTTGAGCCGTTTCTTTGTAAATAGCAGAAAAGAGAAACAATTTTCGTTTATATCATTTAAAAAATCAAAAACTGTTTGAAAGATATATTGGTTGGGAATGATACTGAAAATAGGTTTAGGTAAAACCTACTGGGCCGTCTTCTTGAAATTAACTGCTGAAATTTTTTTTTGCCGATTTTTATGAACCTTATTTTGGCAATAGAAATTATGCTCTTATACTATATCTAAAATATTATAATATTTTAGTATACTGTATATACTAAAATATTACCGCCCTACGGCAAATGGGTTAATGTTAAAAATTCATCAAAGTTTGACAAAATATTATAGTCAAAATTTGAGTCAAAAGTTGCTTTTGTGAGGTGATGAGTCAAACATTATCAATTTATTAAAATTTAAAATAATAAGCTACAATTTTAGAACATACAAGCATGTATCTGTGGAATATAATTAATATAATTACAGTTAATTTAAATGTGTTTGAAACAAAAATCTATTCAATATCGTAATGTTTAGATTTAATTGAAAGCGATAACATTATTTTTGAAATAAATAGTTGATAATTTTATTTAATTTCTAAATTTCAAATTCGATTCTTACACATTTCGGGATGTTCATGCAACTCGCCTTAAGGCTAAATGCCACTTTCAACTAGTTTGCGGAGTTATGTTGTAGCAATAAATTCTGTGTAGTATTTATAATTCGTTCGTTCGCATAAAAATCCAAGATTTATTCCTACATTGCATAAAATCCACTTCTCTATTTACTTTTTGGGAGAAAATAATAAAGCATGTATTTGTAGTATTATTTATTTTACTCCACGTATATTAACGGCATTATTTATAATAATTGTATTGACATAAACTAGATTTTCTGATACTGATAATTTTTCTTAATTATTCTCATTTTTGCCTAACTCGGTTTGCATTTCATCTTCGTATTGAAATCATTAATTCGGTTTATCAAATTTTTTTTAAAGGACTTCTGTACTACTATCAAATGATTCACTTGAAGAATCTTTAGTAGATAGTAGATTTTTTACATTTCTTCACTGCCATCGAATTCTTCACTTGATGATTCATTATTGTGCTGGATCATCCTGTTTTTGCTGGTATCTAGTATTTGACTTCTTTTATTTGAGTTAGGTTTCTGACTATGATTTTTTATTATTTTTTGAATCATTGACTCTATTTGAGTTTTTTTCAAAATCCTCATCACTTGCCTCAAATGATTCACTAATAGAACTTGCTAGTTTCAGTTTATCCTTTATTTCAGTTTCAATTTTCGAAAAGTTTTGATGTCCAATATTAGAAGAGTTTTGACTTCTTTTATTTGAGTTAGGTTTCTGATTATTATAATTTTTAATATTTTTTGTATCATTATTTGAGTTTTCTTCAAAATCTTCATCACTTGCCTCAAATGATTCACTAATAGAACTTGCTGGTTTTAAGTTTTCCTTCCTTTCAGTTTCAGTTGATTTCGAAAAGTTGTCGATTCTATGTCCAATATTAGAAGAGTTTGAGTGACTCAATTTCATTTTATTTCCCTTATATATATCGACATATTTAGGGTCTAAGTCGAAATTTTCCATACATGTACAAGCACCATTTTTAATATCACCATGATTACCTTTTGATTTTAATTTATTATATGAATTTTCTGCAAGTCTAATTTCAGATTGTTTCCACATTTCATAATTTTTATATGTAAATTCTCCCCATTGTATACATTGATCATCAGGTAAAGGTATGTATAAAATATTTTTATTTGCCGAAATTTCTAAAATATATACAAAAATGTAAATTAAGATTGGAACAAATATTTTGGACCACATGTTAATAATTTATTATAGCAGGTGACAATATAAATAACGTATTTTTTTTGTATTGTGCGATAACATTTTGCAATACATTTATGTGGATGAAAAGTAAATATTTATTTAAACGCTAAATTATAAGTAAATATTTATGTCATATAAGTTTATTTTTAAGTTTGTCAATTATTGCTTTTAAATGAAAAATTGAATATATGAAATTTATTTTCGCATCCTTGGAATTTTTTCACTAATCCTTTGATTTCTGTAATGATACTTATATACATACAACTGTATGGTTAAGTGATATATTTGGTTTTCAAATCATGATTAAACTTTTCTAGAAAAAGATTAATGTATTCATGCATTTATATCATTTATTGGCATAATAATAAATAAGCATATTATAAAATTCAATTTCACATTTGCTTCTGAGTATAATATAATAATTAAGTTATATTTTATTAAATTTATTTACTTATTTATCTTTCTATGAAGATTATTTCACATAGCATTCGCATTGGTTGCCAGTTACACATTTTCCATATGGTAATCCAATTTTCTTACAATCCTTATTGCAATACATGACTAAAGTAGTTGGACTTCCATAACTTCTACACATTATTTCAATGACTCCATTAAATCTAATTTTACATCCTAGTAAAATATAATGTATTAATAAATCATATTTTCTAAATTTTCCTTTTGTACAAAATTCTATTATAAAGGTAATCATATGTTTGTAAAATAGATGATGTACTACATTATTATTTACAAAAAAAAACAAGTAATTATAACACATTCACTATGTTATCTATTATAGGTCAATTAACAAATCTGTTTTGCATTAAAGTTTTTAATATTTAGATTCAAAATTTAAATATTTAAATAACATATATAATATATCAAACCTTGCATCCTTTCTTCAGAAGTCCATGTAGCTCTATCCTCTAATTCGATTTCCCTCTCAATCTCTAAAGGTAAATTGTTAAAAATTATTTATGTTTAGAAATTACGTTTAAAATTCATTTATACTTACGTTCTTTAGTCTTATTTGCATAACTGAGAACAAATTCAGTGCCATCGTTATTCTCACAATAGCACCAACCATTTTTACACTTAGCATTTTTTCTAGACAATTTTGCACATTGTACAAGACATTTTGATTGAGATTCTGGGTCTGATTCTATTTTTGAACATAATCCTTCGACAGGTTTTCCTGGAGCTATTAAAAGAATTAATTAAACAATTATTGTGAAAACTACAATGGTTTGTATGCAAAAATACTTACAGAAAGAATGTCCCATGTGAATAAAAAGACAAATACAAATTAGAAAACAGCAGTTCCGCAACATGTTTTTCAAATAATAATGTCCATAACATTGTTCAGAATTTAATATGTTTCTATTATTTGTTTACTTTCAAGATGCCAAATGTGTTGCAATTAATTGGCAAATTTTGAAAATATTTCGACACATTTGTGAGATATATTTCTACATTTTAACTCTACTGTGCGAGGCATATAAAAATAGAAAATTGAAGCAGAATTAAAAAGCAACATTTTTAAGTTGATTTATTTCATTATTATTGTATGCTTTTCTATTACAAAGATGTTGTTTTATGTAAATTATATTTAATTCGCAAAGAAATCAGAATGGTAGTTGCATGCGCATCTTTGATTTGCCTGGTCACATTTTCCACCAGGCCGATTCAGCTTCATGCAATCGTCTCTGCAGAAATTATCTTGCAAAGTTTGCGTAATGTTTTGCAGGCAATGTATCTTTACACGGCCATAAAATCGGACAGTACAAACTGAAATTATAAATAGATATAAAATTCATCGAAATATATGAATAAACTTGAGCAAATCTATTATAGATTGTACCCTCCATATTGTGTCGTTTGAATTATACGAAAAACGTAAATTCAAATGATTTTTTTAGACCTATTAGCAATTGATATTGTTGTCTTTGCATTGCTGATGACTCAAATCAGCACTTTTAATTACTAATTAATAAATTAGCCAGCTTATTGGATTGACAAAAAACATATTATGTACGCTACTATTTTAGTGTATGTTATCCTCTTATATTAGTAATTTTTCAAATAGCAACAGTAATACTTCAAATAGAAGTTTTTTTTATCAGCCAAAAAGTAATAAACATTTACATTAATAAGTTTATAGATAGAGCAATTGATAGATAAAGATAAAAAAAATTGACGAAGAGAAAGTGACGGTCATATAGTAATTCAAATATACCAATCTTGGGTATATTACTTTTAAGACATTTACGTAAACCTACATTACTTTTATGCAAATAAAAATTTAATAAAAATACGGTCTGTTGGTTTGCATATATAAAAAATTGCCACGTTCTTGAATTTCTTTAAAAATCCAAATGAAATATCAAAATTTGGTTTTAGTTCTAAAGCAAATCTAAAATTTTGGAATTGGTTCAGCTTTACCCCTATTAAGTTACTTTATTTTTTACTTATTTTGACTATTTTATTGAGACATTTTTTTTATTATTACTTACCACCTTGCTCTTCTTGCTCTTCTTGTTGTCCTTGTGTAATTGTTTCTTCTGAAATAATATACATAATTATATTGATTTTTTATTATTATCTTCAAGAATATTATTGAAAGCATTTAAATTATTAAACTTACTGATTTTATCGTAATCAACATATTTGCTTTTCAATCTTTTCCAAGTTCCCTTTTGTTGTTTGCATAAACATACATTTGAGTAACATTTTCCGTACCTATGACCTACTCCTTTACAAAGGGTTCTACACCGATTTTGATGACGTGTCGTATATTTGCACAAGATGAACTTACTTGTTTCATTTTCTATAAAAATATAAAAATATTAAAAAAATGTGATACATTGTTAGTATGAAATAAGTAAAGTACGTTTTATGAATCCCGATTCTAATGCTTTTTCGATAAGTTCTTTGTTTTCCTTTTCATCAACTTTTAGGGTATTTTCAATGTGCTGCATTTGATTTGTATCCTCTGAATCCTCTTTTTCCTGTAATTTTTCCCAAATCTGTTTATTATTCAAACAAGAACAAGTGTCCTTTTCTATTGTGCAAGAGCCGTTCAAACGACCTGTTGCTTTACATTTCTTGGTACAAATTTCGTTATGTTTTGGATTGTCTTCTGTACAGAGTTCGTAATCGTCTGAAAATTGCAAGAATAAAAAAAAATTAAATAGATTATATAATAATATAATTTATAATTTTTGATTATAATTGCCTTTCAGTTGACCCATTTCCACAAGTTCTTCATATGTCCTCCAAGTTCTGCTATCACTATCCAGACATTGGCAAACTGCATTACTTGTACATTTACCTTGAGTTTGATTCAAACGTAAACATTGTGTAATACATTTTTGGCTACCTTGTTTACCAGGACATAAGTCAGATTCAGCTATACGTTCGATTACTTCTTGTTGTTTTATATATTCATCTGGATATATAAAAAATATTACTCAATATTAAATTAATATTTAATATTATCAAAAATGTATGTTGTACCTGACTGATTACGTTGAGTTAAGATATCTTTTAGCCATTTTTCATTATTATCTGTTTTGCACATACATTTATTATCATGGCATGATCCTTCAGTTCTATTGAATAATTTACAAGCATTTAAGCAGTAACTACTCTTCCTGCATTTCTCCGACAATTTTAACAATTCTTGATCAACTAAATTAATATTAAAATGTAATATAATAATTTTAAATAAGTTGGGTACAAATGAAAAAATCTTACATTTATTTTGCACATCTACATATTTGTGCTGCAAATTATTTTTATCTATGCAATAACATGTTGATCCTTCGCACTCTGATTTCTGATTAAATTTGTTACAATTTTGATTGCAAGTATCAGGAATACATTGTTGAGTAGAATCTGTAAATAATTATATAATTAAAAAATTACTTGATTACCTATTTATTGATTCTTTTTAAATTATCTTGCCTCTGTATTTAATCAAATTTTCTAACAGTTGATGATTGCCAACGTTCGTATCATCCGAGCAACTGCATTGGTTTTCCAAACATTTTCCATTAAAACGACCAACAGATTGACATTCTTCTCTACATTTATTTGTATCATCACAATCGTGGTAGAGTTTGTTAAGAACATTTTCTGTAAAACAGATTTAAATACAAACAGTGGAATCGCAATTTAAATTGATGCACTTACCTCGCTCTCCATGGTTTTTAACTTCTTCGTAACTTCTCCAAGAACTTGTTATCGTTTTTCTGCAATAGCAGCCGTTAACTTTTTTGCATTTGCCATCAAATTGCTTATAAGTTTTGCAATTATCATTGCATAAACCTTTTTTGTCAACTCCACTAATGCACATTGGCTGCTTTTCCTTATCTAATTGATTCGATACATACCTTTGATACTCTTCATAGGTTTTCACCACTAAAAATTGTTAATAATATTTATAATAGCTAGAAAAATAAAATAGTACTATTTAAAATAAGTTTATTAATTTTTAGTTTATTACCTGTATGAGTTTCTTGATATATAACTTCTTTAAAGGATCTCCAATGCGTTCTTTCAAAATTATCCATGCATTGGCATTGATTTTCGTTGCAATTTCCATAACTTTGGCGGAAACATTGACACATTCGCTTGCATGTATTTCCATTAAAACATGAAGTATATAGTATTTCTGTTTCATTATATGTTAATTCTGAACACATAATATAATGTTAGTTTGGTACATGAAATTCAACATAAATTTAATAAAATCATTATTCAAAATTCTTATACACATCTATTGTTCTAGAGTTCTGTATTCTTATACACATCTTTTTAACAAAATTAGTTTCAAATTTAAACTTAAAAGTTTCAATTTGAAATAATAGATTCTGAATCGTAGTAAATGCATCGAACTGAAATCAATATCTATTATATAAAAATAAGTCGGGTTTTCCTTCCTTGTGATATAACCCCAGAACGCACGAACCGATTTCGACAATTTTGCATTCGTTGGAAAGGTCTCGGTGATGTTTATAGGAAAGAAAATTGAAGAAAGATTTCAACAGAAAAGCGAAAAAAACTTTTTCTTTTTTCACATACAGCGTCATCTCTGATACTTAGCATGTACTACAAACTAATATTTTTGTTTGACTGCTTCTTATTTGTTTGACAGCTACTCATTGTTTTCTGCTCAGATAATTTCATGTGACAAATCGGCATTGTGTTCACTGTGAAATTGTGCAAAAAAGTAAAAAAAAATAAGTTATTCGTTTCCTAGCATTTTAATTGGAAACCATCAAATCAATCACGTGTATTGTGCAAATTACTAAATAATAAAATGGAACCATCTGGTGGTGAAACGGAGTTCGCCCGGTTTACTAGGTATTAATGAAAAATTGATTATATCAATAAAATGGAGTAATATATTTTTGATGACTGATTAATTTTAGATTTGGTTCATTGCTTGCCATCATTATTGACTTTCAAATAGAACGTGAAAGGCCAAGAAACAAAAAAAATAGTACTCAAAAGTGGTTAACTGAAGAAAATGTTGATGCATCTAATGAAATAAGATTTGGTCACTATTGCAAAAAAATTAATAATAAAAATCTATCAAATGTAGACAGGTTAACCGCTGGGTTGCCATCTGAAATCAGCATAAAAGGAGAATATCGAGCACAATAGTTCTGATTTCTATTCAAAATAAAAAAATCTGCCAAATATTTAATAAATTATGGCTCTTGAAGATCCTTAAGTATTTCTTTTAGTTATTTATTTTTTACCTCTTATAGTTGTTTCTTTCTTTACGATTTGTTGAAGTGTTGATGTTTCCAACTGGTTGCTTGTATCTATTTCATTACTAGTGCACATGCACATTTTGTCTTCACATTTTCCATATGGACGATTATAAGATTTACACATTAATGTGCAATGATAATCAAAACAGTTTCCATTCAGTTCATCAGTTAAAATTTGGTCTAGTTCTATATTAATATGAAATGGATAGTATTGAACTGATTAGTGGGAAATTTAAATGAAAAGATTTTGTATATTTATTAAAAAAATTCTAAGCAGTATTACATATATTACAATTTTTAAACTTTATTTCAGATAATTTTCTGAAAAAGAGAATGACAAGAGTTTTTAAATACATTTGTTGGAAAACCCTCATGAAGCGGTAATAAAGGTAAGATTTTAAAATATTTACCTTTGATTCTTTCTAAATTTGCAAGTTCCCACAGTTTTTGCCATTTGTTATCATCTAATTGACATTCGCATTTGCCGAAACTACAAATTCCGGATTTGGCACCATATTTACCTCTGCATTCTTCTTCGCAATCTTTATGTTCAGTACAAGTCACAGCAGGGAACGATGTATTTCTCTCAGTTCCTAATAAAATAAATACATGATTGATTAATTTTAATTCAAATTTATAGATTTTCTTTATATCTTACTGAAAACAGTTTCTTTATTTTCTATTATTTTTTCATATGATTGCCACAATGTACGGGTTTCAGTTCTTTGACATTCGCAGTTTCCGAGTTTGCAATGGCCTGCATATAATCTTAATGCATGACATTTGTCGTCGCATTCGTGATGTTTTGCTTCATTGCAAAGAGAATCGTCTTCGATAGGGACTAGATATAAAAATGGTGAGAAACAATAATATAAAGAAACAAATATCCGCGAGAACAATGTCGTAATCTCTCATATGCATTAAATTTACCTAGTTCATAATCTTTAATATCTTTCAAATAATTCACAGCACCATTTGGTGTTACACATTGACACCTATTACGCTCACAATGCCCTGCTTTCCATTTTCTGTGAATACACTCATTTTCACAGTATTTTGATTCCACACAATCTGTAACATCACAATTATTAATAGCTGAAAATTTCTTAAAAATATCCACTTCGATTATATTAATGTTCTAATAAGATATTTTCATAGTATTACCTCTGTAATCATCTCTGATATGATCTAAATATTTTCTATTTCCAGTTTTGTCATAACATTCACACGTATCTTTGTCGCACCGACCATTATGATAATTTTCTTTTTTGCAAAGCATATCACATTGTTCTTTTATGCATTCTAATAGATGATTGTCTTCCTCGTGCTCTGTAATTTTTCAATAATTTCATATAAACGTTAAATTATTTTATAATATTGTTGAACAGAAAATTTTAAATCATACTCATACCCTCAATTTCAGTAATTACATCTTCTAGATCTTGTTTATCTTTTTTGTCTGTACAGATACATCTCAAATTCTCACATACACCCTTATCCCAATGATTAGCTTCACAAGCTCTTGAACATAAATCATTATCTGTGCATTTATCTAGTATATCCCTCTCATGTTCACCTAAATTTTATTCAACATGAACATATATAATAACTTTAAAAAGTATTATTTATTAAATAATATTACCTGGTTGGATCAAAACCTCATTTAATAAATCGTCATATTTACGCCAATCTGTATCTCTATAACCAATGCAATGGCATACGCCCTTAAAGCAATTACCAGCTTTTTTATTGATAGAGACACAATCAGTTTCACAGTCTCTATTGCATTTATCTTCTAAATGATGCTCAAGAATATCTAGAAAATAAAATCATAACATTATTATTATATATTCTTTTTGATCGAAATTGTATTTTTAAATTTTGTGCATAAAATTCTAGACTAAGTCCTTTTATCAATATAATGAGATTTATATTAAACTTTATTTTGATACTTGCCGTTACTGCTTATATCATTTCTAATGATTTCTTCGATATATTTAGAAGTTCCTGTTTTAGTACATTGACATCGATCAGAAATGCATGAACCTTCAGACCAATCAAGAAGTTTGCATGCTTTTGTACAATCGCGATCATAACAATTATTTAAAACATTTTCTGAAAAAAAAAACAATATTTGTGCTCTTGGCGTAATAAAATGAATATCAGATTTATTTACCAATTGTTCTTCTCTTAACAATTTCTTTGTATTCACGAAATTGTTCTTGGTGTTTAGAAACTTTACATGAACATACATCCTCCAGACAAACTCCGGCAAACTGATTTTGTCTATGGCATGCGATATCACACTCTGTTATTTCACAAACATCTTCTATAATCATATTTTCGAAGTTTTCTATGTCATCTGAAAACATAAATCATCATCTGAAATCTTGATTAAAATGGTGCAGTAGCGAATAGATATATAACTATTTATTATTCTGTACCTTTTCTATTATTATTCTGATCATAAAAATCATTTTTGGATAGTAAGTTCCAAAGACCATCGCAATTTTCGCATTGGCATTTTTTATAAGTTTTTCCATCATTGGTACAAGTTCCATTTTCATGGCCCAATTCGATACATTTATACAGACAATCAATATTGGATCTCTCTTCATGTTCACATAACTCATAAATATTATTTTCTATTTCGACGTCACTATGATCTGTGTCGCTACATTGGCATGAATTTCCAAGGCATTTTCCTTCTGATCTATAAAATCTCCAACAGTATCTAGAACATTTTTCATTTTCGTCGATATTTTTATTACAAACCGAATTTTTGTAATCATTTTCAACATCGAAGGTTAAATCTTCCCAGTATTTCTGATCTTGAGTGCATTGACATTTTGGTTTATTTCCAGTATTTTGGGTACATCTTCCATTATGATATCCTAGTCCAAGACATTGATATACACAGTCGCCTTCGCCGAAGTCATTTTTACAAACTAATATAAAAATAAATCATGTTAAGTTTAAATTAATCAAATTAAATTTTATGTAATATTTTTATTATCAAACAACTGAGTACTTGCCAGAGGAATGAGGGATATCATTTCTCAGAAGATCTTGATATTTATGAAAGTCATCCAGATTATTACTCGAACAATAACATTTATTTTGCTGGCATAGACCAATATTTAGGCCTACTTGTGTACAATGTTTATTACATGCCCAATTGCAGTCACGATCATATTCTTCTGAATCATTTTATTTATATAATTTTATTTTAATTAATTTTTTTATATATTATGAAAATTAAATATTTTAATAATAATAAAGTATGAGTAATATAATGTAATATAATAACTTTTTAAAAAGTTATCGAAATATTTTGTAAGAATTATGTGAGAAGTTTAGTTATAGAATCAATCCGGCCTAACTACATATTGTCAATTATCGCAATTATTGATAAATAAATTTCATATCGATAGTATGAAAATTAAGAGAATAAATGAGTATTATAAGTGATGTAGGATGTAGTACTTCAAATATATAGTTACTTACCTGATGAATTTGATGATATTTCTTTAAGTATTTCATCATATTTTTTAAAATCTTCTAATTTATTTCTGGTACAGTAACATTCTTTTTCTCTGCATTCACCTGCCTTATAATTGACCTCTAAACATTTCCTATTACAATGTAAAGAACAATGATCCAAAGATGGATAAATTTCTTCTTCGACTAAAAACATTCTTGCATTAATTCTAAATTTTAAGACTTTTCTCATATCTTAATGACAATATTTAGTATTATCAATCACTCACTTCGGAATACTTCGTTTACAATCTCTTCGAAAGAACGGTATATTTTGGAATCTCGTGAAATTTCACATAAGCATTTTCCTTCATCACATTTTCCGGAAAATTGTTTGAAGCTGTGACATGCCACATCACACTCTTCTGGTTGGCATTGGTTCTCAATAATATTTTTAATAAATTCTTCATAATCATCTAAAGAAATTATATAATAATATAATGCAAATGTAAAATTATTGTAAATTATTTGACGAAGACAGTTATTTAGTTCAATTAATATAAATTTTAATATCATTTAATATCATTGGGTTTTTATTATTAATGCTCTTTACTAAAAATTAAAATGGTTTACCAATTCTTTCACCCTCATCGTAGAATTTGTCTGGTGATAATGATACCCATTTGTTAGAATGATCTTGACATTTACATGATATTTCAACATCAGTTACAGAGCAAGCACCATCTTTGAAATTTAATTCTTTACATTTATGCCTGCAGTCAATATTTTTTCTAATGTCATTTTCACATAATTCCTCAATTTCTTTGATAATTTCTGTATCTTCATCAACTTCTTTTTCATAATCACAAACACATTTTCTATGACCTTTATCTTCATAGCAAGACCCTAAACTATCTTCAAATCGCCAACAGTACCTCGAACATGACTTTGAGTTTGACTCCTTTGAACAAATAGAATTCTTGTAATTTTTTTTGACTTCACGTGATAATTCTTTCCATGTTGAAGTCTTTTGCATGCAATGGCATTTATCCTCAGTGCATTTTCCTCTCTCAAAGTTAAGGCTCTGACAGAAATATTCACAATAACCGTCGCCAATTTCAGTTTTACAATATGCATTTGTAGGCAAATCATAGACGTTTTCTGCTACTTCTAAAGAGAAAAAATTCCAAATAACGTAAATAATTATAATTATTTAATTTAATATATTAACTTCCCGAAAGAGAAGTTTATGTTTTTATTATAAAAGTTGCTCTGCAACACACCATTAGATATTATTGGGGCTTAATTGAAGAGAAGATAAAATTTTGAGATATACAAATTTTAGAGAAATAAAGAAAAACAATCAAAATTTGTAAAATAAATCGAATAACAAGACAATCAAGAATGAACACATATCATTAGACACTTGACAAACTTTCGATACTAGAAAAAATTGTCGATAAATAAATTACATATCGATAGTATAAAAATTAAGAGAATTAAGTGAATATTATAAGTGATGTAGTACTTAAAATATATAATTACTTACCTGATGAATTTGATGATATTTCTTTAAGAATCGTATCATATTTTTTAAAATCTTCTAGTTTATTTCTAGTACAGTAACATTCTGTTTCTCTGCATTCGCCTGCCCTATAATCGATCTCTAAACATTTCCTATTACAATGTAAAGAACATTGATCCAAAGTTGGATAAATTTCTTCCTCGACTAAAAACATTCATGCATTAATTAGTAATTCTAAGATTTTTTTTATATCTAAATGACAACATTTAGTTTCATTAATTACTCACTTCGGAATACTTCCTTCACAACCTCTTCGTATGAACGGTATATTTTGGAATCTCGTGAAATTTCACATAAGCATTTTTCTTCATCACATTTTCCGGAAAATTGTTTGAAGCTGTGACATGCTACATCACATTCTTCAGGTTTGCATTTGTTCTCAATAATATTTTTAATAAATTCTTCATAGTCATCTAAAAAAATTATATAATGTAAATGTAAAATTAATGCAAATTAAATGATAAAAGCAGATTTTTAGTTCATTTAATATAACAATTAATATGATTAAGTTTTTAATATTATTAACTTTTGTTATTAATAATGCTATTTACTAAAAGAGTTGGTTTACCAATTCTTTCATCATCATCATAGAATTTGTCCGGTGTTAATGGTACCCATTCGCCAGTATCATCTTGACATTTGCATGATATTTCATTATCAGTTACGGAGCAAACACCATTCTTAAAATGTAATTCTTTACATTTATGTTTACAGTCAACACTATTTCTAAACTCTTTTTCACATAATTCCTCAATTTCTTTTATAATTTCAGTGTGTTCATCAACTTCTTTTTCATTTTCACAAACGCATTTTCTATGACTTTTATCTTCATAGCAAGACCCTAAACTATCTTCAAATCGCCAACAGTACCTCGAACATGACTTTGAGTTTGACTCCTTTGAACATATAGAATTTTTGTAATTTTTTTTGACTTCACGTGATAATTCTTTCCACGTTGAAGTCTTTTGCATGCAATAGCACTTATTTTCAGTGCATTTTCCTCTGACAAAGTTGAGGCTCTGACAGAAGTATTCACAATAACCGTCGCCAATTTCAGTTTTACAATATGCATTTGTAGGCGAATCATAGACGTTTTCTTCTATTTCTAAGAAAGAAAATGAAAACAGAAAAAATATTATTTATTCAAGTAAGTTATAAAAGTGACAGTTTATTTATATTCAGAAAAAGTTTAGTGTTAAATGTCTCAAAGTTCCAAATAACGTGAATAATAATTAATTACCCAAAGAAGAATATTATGTTTTCATTATAAAAGTTGCTCTGAAACACACCATTAAATATTATTGTGGTTTGATTGAAGATAAAATTTTGAGATATAATATTTCCAGAGGAATATAGTATTACTGTCAAAATTCGGAAAATTAATCGGATAATCAAACAATCAAGAATAAACACATATAATTAGAAATTAAACAGACATTCAATATCAAAAAAATTAATAAAATTACTATACAGTATATTACTGAACTAATCTATATAGAATATCAAATCATTTGATCCATTAATTACCTGTCTTGCGATTACTTTGTATTAAATCAGTATATTCTCGTAATTTATTTTCTTTTCCATCATAACACTGACAAATTCCTTCTATGCAATTTCCATCAAAGTTAAAATCAAGACACTTATTATAACAATCATGTGAGTCACATAACTTTTCAAATTCGTTAATATTACGATCATATGGTTTTTGCATCTCCCTTGGATGATCTTCATTTGTGTAATCTGTAATAATTGTTATATTAATTAAAAAAATATTATACTAATTATAATATGTTATACTAATTAAAAAAATATATCTACTCACGAGTGTGTCTGTCTTCAATAATGTCTTGAAACGAATGCCAATTTTGATATTTTAGAGAAGTTTTGCATTTGCATTGTTTATAAATGCATTGACCGTTGAATTGTCTTTGCCTATGACAAGCAATATTGCAATCCATGGCTTTACAAGGACCAGCTATTATTTTACTCTCGAAAGCAGTTTCATTAACTGATAAATAACATTTGAATTATTATATTGTTTCAAGACAATATTTGAATATAAAAATGTAAGTACTTTCATAAAAATTATTCCTACTTACTTTTATATTTACTGTTTTCAAAAAAGTCTTCTACTATTAGTTTCTGCCAGTCATCATGTGTTCCGCATTCACAACTTTTGTAACTTGATTTTGTGTCTCTACAAAGTCCATCTAGATTTTTAAGTGTTTTACAAGTATATTGGCAATCGATATGGACTCTTTCATCTTCTTCACATAGTCCATCAATAAGTAATCGAGCACGAACTCTTTCTTCGTCCATTTGATTTTCCTCACAGTGACAAAAATCTTTTTTGCAATATCCAATTGTATTCTTTGAATGTCTGCAATATTTGGAACATAGATATGAGCTTTCTTCATTATTTCCTTTAGTGCAAACACTGTTTTCATATTGTTGCTCCAAATTTTCATTGAAATCAATCCATGTTTTCTCATCATTTGTACAAGTACATTTTTCACCAGAACACTTTCCTTCTCTATATCCTACACCTCGGCATTTGTACGTGCAATGTCCTTCTCCATATGTTAGTTTGCAAACATCACAAGAATTTACTATATCTTAAATAAATAGAAATTATAAAAATTAGTAATAATATAAAATAATTGCTTTAACTATGTTATTGTTTAATAACCTGGTGATGGACTTTCATTATTTCTCTCAAACCTTGGCACATCTTGCCATTCTTTTTTGTTCGGATTGTAACATTTACAAGTGTCTTGAATACAATCACCATCCAAACCGAATTCAAAGCAACTTTGATGGCAATCTTTAACTGAACAAATTTCTCTATCCTGATGAGTGTGTTTTGGTACTATAAATTAAATTTTAAATAGAATACAAAGAATTATTTATGGCTACCTAGAACTAACTGGAACATACATAACTATAGTTTTGGCTAACTTATATACGTACAATTCGTAATTGGAAAATATTCTATTTGGAGATTATTAGCTTGAAGAATATTTTTTAGTACTAATGTTAATTAAAAATAATGATAATAAAAGGTGTTTATTACAATACCTGATTTTACAGGATTTGTGATGACATCTGTATATTTTCTCCATTCTCGAATTTCCTTTATGAAACATTTGCATTCCTGGTCAATACAATCTCCGTCATATTGTAATGCACTGCATTTATCATAGCAATCAGATTTACTGCACAATTCAGATTCTAATACTATCAAGAGACAATTGTTAATGTATAAATATAAAAATGTATATTTGAATTAAATATTGTTCAACTTTTACCATTATTTGTGTGTGTTTCAATATCTAAATAATTAGTCCAAGTTGATTTATCTTTAGAACATAAACATTGCACATTTTGTGATTCGGAATTACATTTGCCAAATTTGTTGCCTACATTATTACATAATTTTGTGCAAAGGTCACCAATTGAAGTCGAACAAGATTTTTGGTTTGGCTTGAAGATGGTTTCTTCAATTTGAACTATTCTTTCTTCTCTGTAATCTAAAAATATGCATTGGTTATCGATATTATTAATGTATATATTACGTTGATAAATATTATTTATACTGACATGTTTTTCTTTCGGTAACAATCTTTCTGTATTCATACCACTTTTCTTCAATGCGGGCAGTTTTACATTGGCAAACGTTGCGTATGCAGACGCCATCAAATTGTCTTTGTTTTATGCAACCGATGGCACATTCAGTTTCACTTGTACATGGTCTATTTATAATATTATTTTCGAATTCATTTTCTTCTTTTATCATATCTATTAAATACAAATATTTTAATAAATGTAAATTAGAACATAAAATAAATTTAACATAATTATATTAGGCTATAAACACACCCAAATTTTGCATTTAGTAGAGAAGATTTTGAATAATTTAAAAAGAATAATTTATTGTTAAAATTTTTGGAGCGTAATAGCATTGGACCTAAATTCGTGCACTTATAAAATCATTAGCGTTGAAAACAATATGTTACTCTTTTGAAAATAGTTCATGAAAATATTTAAATTCAATCAAACTTTACTCACCCCAGTATTGTTCTCCGCTGTAGTATTCTCTTCTTATCAATTCCTGGAACTTGCTCCATTCTTGGGCTCCAGATTTTATACATTTACATTCCCTAATGCCGTTTGTAACTTCTATACATTGTCCTCTATCATACATGACTTTTTTACACTCGTAATCACATAATTTATCCCCAGCGATTTTGTTTTCACAAATATCAGTTTCTTCTAATGGCCACCGAGTTTCCTCATGGTCACAAGTACAATAACCCATGTTACAACTCCCAGCAGTGTTTCTTAGTCTTCTACAATAATTGAAGCATAAATGGTCGTTCTGTGTTTTATCACATATATTATATCTGTAGGTCTGTTCAATAGTTTCATCAAGTTCAACCCAGGTTTGAGTCTCATAAAGGCATTGGCAAATACCACTATTGCATCTACCAGCAGAAGATCCAACACCTCTGCATTTGTAGTTGCAATCTCCTTCACCGTGGTCCATTCGACATACTTGGTGATGCCAAATTTCTAAAACAAATTAATTCGTTATTAATAAAATAAAGTAGGAAACCATGGCATGATATTAGAAATATGTGTAAAAAGTATTTTGATGGTGCTGGAAAAATATTTTCGTTTTTTATTAAATATAGTTATTTATATGTTATTGTTTTCTGTAATTATTTAACTCAATTGATGATTAAATATGCTAATTGTTGTTAAAATAATTACAACATATTAATCACTTACCTCGTTCGTGATATTCCTTATATAGTTCATTATAACTTTTCCAGGTTTTGTCTGTGCTCTGACATACGCATTCATTTTTATTGCAAATACCATCATCTCTTTTTAAACCTCTACATTTAATTTTACAATCAATTTTATCACGTTCTGTAGTACAGCGTTCAATTAAATCTGTCGGTTCTCGTGGATAATTTTCTAATACCGTAGTATCTTCATGAACTATTGAGATAAATAAAAAATGGTATACTTTATAGTAAATTGAGTAATTTCAAGTTTTTACCAATTCTGGTAACTATTTCCTCATATTTAGTCCAAGATTCTTCAGCTCGCTTAATTTGGCATTTGCATTGACTTTTGAAACACTTTCCACCAAATTGATGTTTCAAAAAACAAGCACTATCGCAATAACTATCCTCACAGTTTTTATTGATGCGATCTTCAAACCATAAATCCGTATCTGTATGATGAAAATTAAAAAATTATAGTATCATTTCTGTCATCCCAGTATACAAGTGATTAAGTCAATTTTCACTATTTTGCAGGGTTTATGGTAAGATTCAAACTTACATCACACGCGCAAAATTGCGTTTATGAAATTATTTGTTTACATTTAATATAAAGTACTTCATTAGTGTTAATTTTCCACTATTTCAATGCAATAACTATTTTCAGAGAAATAGTTAAAACCGCAACTTAAGTCATATTTGCTGAAATTCGACTTAATCACTTGTTCAATGGAATGACAGATGTAATGCAAAGAAATCAATAGTACATTTAGAAATCATTTATATTTAAGTCCGTTTAGGATTTAAAAATGTATTCTCAATATTATTGATTTAAAAAGATAAAATTCACCTTTCTCCTTATTATCTTTAGTATAATAATCTCTTTCCTTAAGCTTCCTCCATTTATCATCCAAGCGCTTGCACGAACAAAATGTAGTTCCACCATTTTTCCTACATTCCCCATCAGTAAAATGCAATTGCAAGCACTTCAATTTGCAATCAATACTCTTTCTTTCTTCAGACCGACAAATTTCTTCAATATTTTTTTCAATTTCTTTGGTCCTTTGCACCTTTTCATTGGTGCAACCTCCGCAAACGCATTTTTTATCCTGTGCATGAACATGTTCCTCTGCAATATTTTTCACACTTTCCAGAATCGTTTGAATTTGTACAAAGTTGATTTAAGAATTCGTTTTCTTTCTTATTAGTAAAGATTTCTAAATCGGTTTCTGCGTTGCATTTGCAAATGTTATTTGCGCATTGACCGCCTTTGTTATATCCTGCAGAAGAGGAAGAGTAGCTTGTAAAATTAATGCCGTAAAATAAATTTTATTTTAATTTGATAATTTATATTATTTTAAATTATATTTATTTAAACATAAAATATTTTGGTAGGTAATTATCTCCCCGAAACCAAATATTTAATTAAGGATCTAATTTATTAAACTAATAAATATAAGCAAGAAATTAGTACTTTTTGTGATATTGATTTAATTTATTTTCAGAAAAAAATATTTATTTTTTGTGGTCGCTATTATTTTTGAAAATTGGTTTATAGTTTTCTCCATTTTCTGAGCATTATGATTTTACTTATTTTCAGAAAAAAATTATTTATTTTTGAAAATTAGTTTTTCTTAATCTCTGAGCATTTCGACATATTCCACATCTTCTGATTTCATTATTTGATCAAATATATACAAAAACTCATATTAATGTACATTGGTATGCAAACATGAATTCATATATTATCTACATAAAGCAATAGTTAAAACAAATATTTGATGAATGAAATAAAGTAGAAACAAAACTTAAATTTTTAAACAAGTTATAATTTATCATATCTCTTAATACTTAGGGATAGTAATCGCAAAAAAATGTATGTAGCGCGATTGCTTAACAAAAATGTTATAGAATTTTTAAAAAAAATTAAAATACAAAAAAAACAAATTTTTCAAAAGCCTTTTTTTCCGATATATCAAAATTTCTCAAAAATCAATTTTTTCAAAGTTTTGCAAATTTAGTTTTCGGTACGAGAAGTTCCAGCAATTTGCCTTAAGGCACGATGCCATGCACCTTTATGTATCACCATTTCTTTAAATTTTGTTTTCAATTTTATTATAGGCTATTCAGAAGTGCATAGTATTATTTATATGAGTATTTGTTTTAACTATTAATATTTAAATTAATAATTGTACGTCACGACTTGTAATAGAATTTATTCATAAAAGAAATGCTTTCATTGAGTAACCTTTCAAAATAAATTCTATCAAATCAAAAATAAAAAATATACTATTTCCTTAATATCTAACTATGCTAGTGTTTTTCCTTTATTAATTTCCCGTAGGGTAAGTTATTGTAATCGTCCAAAAATCGAAATTAAAAATTTCTGCATTTCTCGACGTTTTGAAGGTTTCTGAACATTTTGGCATACCTCAGAAAAAATGGAGATAAGGAGCAAAGAGTGCAGAAAATAGAAATCGAGTTTTTGAGAGAACGGAGCATCCGATTTGAATGATCTAGAAAATATTCAATTAGTAATGATTGTGAAAAGTGGTTATTAGTTTTTGGCAAAGGCAGGCCCAGCCATTTCGAAGCTACAGAGCTGAATGTGCAAAATATGGCAGTTTTTGAGAGAACTAAGCGTCCGATTTAAATGATTCAAAGAACTTTCTGCTTGTTTTAACAAAATAATTGATTTTGGAAAAAAAATTTGTTCCAATATTTTTTTCAATTTTTTTTGTATATCGAAAATGATTCAGATTTTATTTTTAATTCTGACTAAAGTTCTAATATACTTTAAACAAATAATTTCAACTTTGCAATTCAGTTTATATAATTCTTCTAAATATTAGACAATGTTTCAATATTTATAATAATCTATTTGAAAAAACTTAATATTTCTCGTACATTTCGTTACGGTTAGTTTAGATATCTATTTCTTTTATTACCTGTAATTGAGCAGCGGTAATTACATTCTCCGTCACCTATGCCGTCGGTGCACAATCCATACACGTTTTCATTATCCGGAGGAGACTGTAAAACTCTAATAAATTTCAAAATATACCATTTGCAATCTTCATCTAAATGGCACATGCATTTATTATTTTCGCAACGCGCCGGATACTTCGATATTTTCAAACATGCTTCAATGCACTGATTGCCGAATGGTCCTTGGCATAGGGAAATTTCGGCACCATCATCAGCTGTTACTATCAATGATAGAAATTATAATAATTTATTACAATTTTTATTTTTTCATTCAAGGCAAAATGATTCATCTTAATCTTACTAATGACATTCTATTGGATGTAAGTTAAATAAAAAATACATTTAGATGATTGTTACTAACTAATTGAATTAGTAAAACTGTTGAAAAATTGAACACACCATTTAGTAATGAGTAGAAACATGAATTAGTATTATCCCGATTTAAATTTAAATTTTAAAATTGTTTAAATATTTAGTCTACATTATCAATATTAACCCCTCATATTCAAATCATATATAATATAATTTTTAAATATATATATATATATATATATATATATGTGTGTGTATATATTATTATCTTCACCAAAACTTTGCCGTATTTCTGAACCAAATACTGCTCTATTTTCCGAATATAATATCAAAAACACACAAATAATAAAATATAGCTTCATTTTGCACTAATATTAAAAAACATTTTCCAAATTATTATTTTGATAATACGTTCAACTACGGTGAAAAATTTAATTAATTTTGCAACTTCATAAAACGCATTTTTTAAAAAGTTTGATTTCACAATATTTATTTAGAGTACGATAACAAGTGAATTTCCAAATTTTTTGTGAGAATACCAAAACATACTTTTTTCCACAATATTGCATAAAATGTATGTAATATTATTACAACTAATTATTTTCCTGTTAATCGGCAGAACATTTTCTACTAAACATTTAAAAAAAAACTTGAATTATTCAAGTCTGATGAATGATTTCTAAGAACAGTTTGACGACGTTAATGCGAAACGTGAATGATGTAGTCTAAATTCTAAAAACATGTAATTGTTTTGCAAAAATATAATTCATAAAAATTACATTACATTGACAAAGGTTTACACGTACAAATATAGTTTAAATAATATAATTGTTTTAACTTAAATATTTTCTCATGCTCTAACTCTGTAATATTCATTGCCTGAAGACAGCCTCCACCTCATACAAAGCCGTTTCTTGTTTCCAACATTGGTGTTTGGAAGATGATTGTTTAATTGATTAAATTCGATCTCACATTTGCAATTATTTTCACCTCTACAACCTCCAGATTGCAATCCAGCCCGATAACACCAAAAATGACATGCCCAATTATAATAATCTATACCGTAAGCAGATTGTTTATAACAAGATGTATCAGCTGCAATTCTGATGTTGTTGACAACTGAAAATTATTATAAGAAATATTGATAAAATAATTTTTAATAGTTAACAACTTATATATTGAATTATTATTAGTTGATTAGACAGTAATTTTTATATTTATAAAGAAACAGTTAACTCAAGTTAAATAATAATTTCCTAAAATGTTTTCCAAAAATGTTTCAAATTTTTATTATTTTATAAATTCTAAAATGTATTTCTAATTTTCCCAACAAATGTGAGTTTACACAATTTTTGACCAGAAAGTTGGCCAGGAAATCAATCTAAATTTGTCCCTTTCTCAAACAATGTTATTTTAATTATGTATACATAATTACTATAATCGCAAAAATAAATTATAGTATATATCATATTACATAATATTGGCAGCCCAGTTTGGTCTCGAAACAACTGAACATGTTCTGTGGCAGTCGATTTATTAATCAGTCCCATTAATATTAAAAAATAAAACAATTTGATAAATATATCTTTTTGGAACATTTTTCACTTGATTATAAAAATGTTGTAATTCGTATTATAAAAGATATTGGAATATTTCAACTAATTATGATAAACATATGATATGCCTGCTATATTTATTTGGCATACAAAGGATATTACAAAATCGCAAGTGAGTCTATTGTCGAAAATTAAACAGAATTTGAATATCTAACTATTGATCGCATGTTTTGTAGAAATATGTAGAAAGATTTTGTTAGTAATTTTAAATTTGTACTAGTCGCTGATTGATTTTCAATATTACTCATAAATATTTTTAATAATATTTTGGTATAACAATTTATTTCGAAACCTAAACCAAAATATCAAATCTTACTGTAGAAAATAAAATCTCAATGATAATTTGATTTATTTCAGAAGTTTTTTGTCCTATTTATAGCGGAATTTTTTGGTTTTTGTAATATCGAAATGAATATAACTACATAATAAAGAATTATTTATGTCGTGTATTTTCAGATTTCGATTTTTTTTTCAAAATAAAATATTAAATGCTTAATGCCGTGCCGATATATTCATTAAATAATTCGACGATAATGCTGTTAATCAGTTTGTAGATTTAATTAGTTCATAAAATTCATAAAAAGACAAGCATATCACACATATTTCACACATAATATTTTATTTAACATAAATTATTAATACAGTTTTATTTATATATGTGGTGAATATACATTATCCATCATTTTCTGCATTTGAAATTTAATATAGGCAAAAATTCACTAACTGAAAATAAACTAGCTGTAAGTGGAATTCTGTCTTAAGGCAATTAAGGCATCGTGCCTTAAGGCAAATTGCTGGAACTTCCCGTGCCAAAAGTTATAATTTTTTTAAAAACGATTAACATTTTTGAAAAAATTTTACTTCGAAAAAATAAGATTTTTTAGAAATTTTAAATTGGACAAAAAATTACTTTTTTTTGAAATTTTTTGTTTTTTTAAAAAAAATTTTAAACAATTTTTTTTATAAAAATTTTTTTTTGGAAAAAATGTTATCTTCATTTTGACATATTTTGGAAGATCTGAACTTTTTTTCAAAGCAATCGTACTGCTTTGACTGCATAGAGACAAAATATAAAGCGCGTAAGCGCCGCGTCGCTGTCTAACGGAAAAACATTGGTACGGAACCCATAGGAATGTAAACAAAACTTATACTTATTGTTAAAATCTCAATAAAATATCTGATAATTTGATATGCATATGTCTAATGATTATTGTTGACCGCCAAATGTAATTTTTTTTAGTTTTTTTTTACTAGATCTCCGAAACCGCTAGACCTATCTTCATGAAAATTTGATCAAATCTTCATCCTGTTAATACAAGTAAAATGTTTTTTGAACTATACAAATCGGACGCTCCGTTCTCTTGAAAACTGAGTTACCGTTTTTGGCCCTTTTTGCCCCATATCTTCAGAACGGCTAGACCTGCCTTTGACAAAAACTAATCAGCACGTCTCCTTATCAATACGAATCGAATGTTTTTTGAATTATTCAAATTGCTTCATCCGTGTTCCCGAAATCGTCGACGAAAATTTGTATCCGAACACACACACATGCACGCACGCACACACACACACACACACATACATCAATTTTCTCCAAGGTATGCCAACATATTCAGAAACCTCTGAAACGTGAAGATATATAAAAAATTTCATTTTCGATTTTTTTGCGATTGCTTACCCTATGGAAAGTAATTATAAATAAATCAATTTATCATCTCCATAACATTAACAATCGTCATTTCATTTCGAATCAAATCCAAAAAAAAATAGTTGCCAAATTTACACAAAATTGAAAAAGTGCTCCCGCATAGTCACAGTCTAAACGCATTTGCAAATAATTCTGTGCGACATTTTCACTTATTCTGTGCTCAGCTTGGCGGCATTTTCACATTTTTCAATAATTTTCACAAAATTGGAAAAGTGCTCCAATACACAAGCAGTCTAAACGCACATGGGTAAATATTTGTACCAGAGTGGCGCTTAGACTGTGCTTAGCTTGGGTGATTTTTTGAATTTTTAATCCAAAATTACAAAAAAATTTTTTGAAAAAAAAATTAGAAACAAAAAATTTTTTTTTCCAAAATCAATTATTTTGTTGAAAAAAGAAGAAAGTTCTCTGAATCATTTAAATCGGACGCTTAGTTCTCTCAAAAACAGACATTTTTTTTAAATTTAGCTCTGTATCGCCGAAACCTCTGGGCCTACCTTTGCCAAAAACTAATTAGCACATCTCCCTATCAATAGGAATCGAATGTTTTTTAAACCATTCAAATCGGTTGATCCGTTCTCTCAAAAACTCGCTTTCTATTTTTTGCACTCTTTGCTCCATATCTCCGTAACGGCTGGACCTGCCTTTGCCAAAAACTAATCAGCACATCTCCCTATCAATAGGAATCGAATGTTTTTTAAACCATTCAAATCGGTTGATCCGTGCGCCCGAAAACGTGGACGAAAAATCGCGGACATACAAAACACACACACACACACACACACATCCATTTTTTCTGAAGTATGCCAAAATGTTCAGAAACCTTCAAAACGTCGAGAAATGTAAAAATTTTTGATTTCGATTTTTGGACGATTACAATAACTTACCCTACGGGAAGTTAAAAATAGTTGCCAAATTTACACAAAATTGAAAAAGTGCTCCCGCATAGTCACAGTCTAAACGCATTTGCAAATAATTCTGTGCGACATTTACACTTATACTGTGCTCAGTTTGGCGGCATTTTCACATTTTTCAATAATTTTCACAAAATTGGAAAAGTGCTCCAGTACACAAACAGTCTAAACGCACTTGCGTAAACATTTCTACCATAGTGGCGCTTAGACTGTGCTTAGCTTGGGTGATTTTTTGAATTTTTAGTCCAAAATTACAAAAAAATTTTTTTGAAAAAAAATTAGAAACAAAAAATTTTTTTTTCCAAAATCAATTGTTTTGTTGAAAAAAGCAGAAAGTTCTTTGAATCATTTAAATCGGACGCTTAGTTCTCTCAAAAACAGCCATTTTTTTAAATTTAGCTCTGTAACTCCGAAACCTCTGGGCCTACCTTTGCCAAAAACTAATCAGCACATCTCCCTATCAATAAGAATCGAATGTTTTTTAAACCATTCAAATCGGTTGATCCGTTCTCTCAAAAATTCGCTTTCTATTTTTTGCACTCTTTGCTCCATATCTCCGTAACGGCTGGACCTGCCTTTGCCAAAAACTAATCAGCACATCTCCCTATCAATAGGAATCGAATGTTTTTTAAACCATTCAAATCGGTTGATCCGTGCGCCCGAAAACGTGGACGAAAAAACGCGGACATACAAAACACACACACACACACACACACACATCCATTTTTTCTGAGGTATGCCAAAATGTTCAGAAACCTTCAAAACGTCGAGAAATGTAAAAATTTTTGATTTCGATTTTTGGACGATTACTATAACTTACCCTACGGGAAGTTAATACTTAGAAAAATTTTAGTAACAGTGTTTAAAACATTAGAATCTAATGTTTTAAACACTGTTACTAAAAATACTAAAAATCTAATGATTAGATGATCATTGCCACCATATAACAAATTCAAATCATGTATTTTCGGTTTTATATGATATTTTATATAATTTTTATGAAATTATATAACGTGATATTTTTTATTTTTCTATTGACTCATCTGAGTTATACGGTGGATCATCCATCTTCTTTTCGTTGGAATCAATAAGCTCTAAAATATTAGTTCCTGGTATAGTTTTAATTTGTTTCTCTTTATTTATTCTATTTTTCTTAGTTTTTTTATTTTTTGATACACCACGTTTTGTACTCTTAGGATTTGGTTCGGTTGCTTGATTTTCATTTTGATTTTGATATGGATTTTCACCATAATTCGTTGTTTTAATATTTTTGTAATCGTTATTATATTTTTTCTTCGTATTCTTCTTATTTCCTCTAATAGATTTTTGTTTCTTTTCTGATTGAATTTTACGTTGGTATGAACGATCCCCATAGATTCCAGGACGATCATCACATTTACAAGTTTCTTGTGCTTCTTTCTTATTATTTTTTTTGCATCTACCTCCTGATGTACCAATTAGCAAGCAATGGGTATGGCAATGATATGTATGAAAATTCAGACCTTTATATCTGAGTTCTTCTATACAATCTGGATTAAGTTTGAATTGATGCCCATTAAAACCTGCGAAAGAACGATCGATGTGTATACTCCATATATTATTAAAAGTTAATAAAAAATAACTTACCCAAATTATAATCTCCATTTTCATTTAATTTGTGAACTGTTACTTCAAGTTCACTGTGTCCTGCAAGTACAGGTTTTAATATAAATAGAAGAAAAAACCACTTCATAATAATTATAAAAAAATATTGTAAAAACTTGTATATATTAAATTTGTACATATAGTTTTATCTAACTTCTTTCATTTTTTATTTTACTTGAATTTATTTATTAAATTTTGATGTATTGTGTTTTCATTTTAATTTATTTTGAAATTAACACACACATAAAAATTTAAGTATTAGGAAATGCAATACGTATATGTTGTTTATCAAGCTAAAGTAATAAACAAACAGAACTTTTTTGCAAAATATGTACATATTTGGGGTATCTCTTTGTTAAAAGCAGGTCTTAGGTTCGGTTTTCTTTTGAAGATGTAAATAGAAACAAATACATCAGATATGCAGCATGGCTGCAAGAAATTAGGAATCATCAGTATTATAATTGTAAAATATTTATTTTTAAATAAATACAAGCTATACTTTGGCTGCATTCCAAAAAGCTACGTAATTAAGAAGTATTATCACAAAAAAAAGCTTTTAAGTTCTGATTACCATTTAAAAAATATATTTTAAGTTATTAATAAAATTTGAGCAATAATAACAAAAAGAACTAGAAGAAAAAGAAATAATTAAGAGAACAAAATTGATTAAGATATTTATACAATATGATAATACATAATTGTAGTTTCACAGAAATCCTAGGTTGTCAAGTTACTAATAATCCGAAATAATTAAAATACAATGTTGTTATAGTTATGTAAGGTTTTTTTATTATTAACAAAAAGCAATCCAAATTACGTATAATTACTATAAGCTATTCCTTATTTGAAAAGTTTAAATTCAAATTTTTGTGTATGAAGGACAATGTTATTATTTTATTTCTTCTTTTCTTTCGACTCTGCAGAGTTATATTCAGGATCTGGTAGCCTATCTTCATCCGAAAAAATTAACTCTACAACGTTTGTGCCACTAATGGGTTTGGGTTTTGGTACTGGTTTAGTAGGCTTTGGTTTCTTTTTATTTTCTTTATTTTTTATATTATTCTCGTGCTTAGTGCTTCCTGGAACTTGATTATTTATGGTATTTGAATTAGGATCTAGAATTTTATTCTCCCATGTGCACTGGCATTCATTTCGGCATGCTCCATTCCCTTGCTTATAACATGTAATATGACATTGAAATAAACCACTTGTTACATCCTGATGTCTTAATATTTCATTGTGGCAGCTTGGATCCAGTACCCGCAATATTTCATTTATATCTTAAAATAGTAAACATGTGTTAAATAGACTTTTATTAATATATACATAGGAACATATTTAAAATTGTATGACAACCTCTTGCATGATAAATATCATTATCTTCCAATGGTCTTAACTCTACATTGCTTATCAAGAAAAGTATAAGTGATATTATGTACCACATATTTGCAAGGTTAATAAATTTAGTTTTTTTTCTAATAGGACTTGTCACAACCGTTAATTAACATCAAGTGTGATTTATTTGGGTAATTTATTTATTTAGTTAAAATATGATAAAAAATAAAACGCAGTATGCTACTGCACTGTTACTGCTAAATTATAAATATATTTATATTTATGACAGATGTTTATATTTTCAAAATATGTTTTTGTAGTAAACGACACAAATATTTGTGCAATTTTGTTGAGCAATTAAATTAACCGAATAGAACCCCCTCATATTTAAATTTTAGAGATAATTTCCAATTTTTATTATAATATTTTATGAATAAAAAACAATATTTATTTTAATATTTTTTTACTTTTGAGATATATTAACTAATTAATTACTAATGTGGTAAAAATTCAAATAATTGGAATTAATTTTACACCAAGATTTTTGGGAAATTAAAATCAAAAACTTTTGTTTCATTGATCCTTTATTTTTGGCACCATATACCAATGATATAATGTATTCAAATTAATAGATTGAAATCATAATATTTTTATTTTTTTTCATATGAATTTAATTACTACATACATCTTAGAAAAGAAAACACAGTTACTGAAGAGTAGATGAAAAATGCTATAACAAAATAAAATTTAAATATTTAAATTTATTATTTAAAAAATAAAATTTTCAATCGTATTATACAATAGTTTTATAATGTAGTAGGTAGATTATAAGTTAAATGAAGCTTTGATTAAATAAAATTTTGTATACACCGAAATATGTTGAAATGCAATGCTTATTTCTATATGTGTGCCAGAATTTTTTGCTAGGTTAATTGCAATTGTTTAGTAGTTACAATAAATAATATTTTATATTTAAAAAAAACACATTATATTATATAATATGTTTTTTTTAATATTCAGTAGTTGCTTCGAATTCAGATCCCTCTTTTGTCAAATGTCCTTCTTCCTGAGTGTTATCGTCACTGACATAATTGCTTGCATCATTAGCATCCACATAATTATCCATGGGCCTCTGATTTTGGTTTTCATAAAATGTATTCATATCGTTTGCGACATTCATTGAACTAGTATCTTTCTCAAGGGTATTAGTATCAGTTCTCGATTTTTCTACTTTGGAAGCATATGAAGCAGAGTAATAAGCAGGGGGTCCTTGCCCGTAACATTCGCATTTTGTTGAATCCTCGGAGCAAGATCCTGCTCCAAATCCGGTAAGGATACAATGGAGGTAGCAGGCGGATTGGACGTATTCTTGAGTCCTGGAGTTCATGTATGAATTACATGAGCTATCAGGCATTACTTGTTTGCCATCGAGCACTAAAATAAAATGAAAAAAAAATCATTTCTAGCGATAGAAAAATTTCTTCTATAAAAAAAATTATTTCTTAAAATAATGATTTTTTCTATTACTAATGCTTGCTACTAATCCTTATCATATAGTTTTGATTTCCGACAGATATATACATTTTTAAACTAGAGCTCACTCAAGTCCAGTTAAGAAATGAGTCCTTTGAACTGTTGGGTTTTCTTCAATGACGAGGCCTTTTTTAGATGGTAACCCATACGGTTGTCTCTATGTGATGAAAATATTCTCACAATTTCTGCAGTAGTTGAGAATTTTTTATTGATGAAATAATTCTGGGCAAAGGCTATTTGCACTTGGAAACATATTGCTATCTATATATTTCCAAGTAAAAGTGAATGGAAATACTTGACTTAATGCCACTCAAGCTGGGTATCGAATCTGGAACTTCTGATTGGGAAACCTAAATCTAACCACTAACCTACGGTAGAACCCTCCTCTTATGTCTAGTGAAGCTATACAAATTGGACGCATATTTAATTTACCACATTTATGTTTATTTTCATTTCAATATAAAATTTATTTAAATTATTTTGTCTTTTAATTTAAACTTACTTAGTTGAAGATCATCCTCATCATTATGTCTGACTAACTGTGCTTCACCACTTACATATTCAAAACATACATAAAAAATTACCACCAAACTTAAATATTTGAACTTCATTTTAAATCCGCGTTACCTTTCTTTTAGAGGAATGAAATGACATTGCAATGCATTTGAATATTGCATTGGTGGTGTATTTATCTTTTGATTTAAAAACCAAGGTCATATCATATATTAAATTTTATTTGACCTTTTGGCCATTTAATTGCTTGATAATCCCGTAATCCATATTTTTGGTCAGATCAATGTCAACACGGACTAACACATATTCGAAATATAGTGAAGAATCGTAATGCTGGCTTCGAAAAATGTTAAATATATTAATAACAAATACAGCATCAAAGTTATTCAAAATATATATCAACTTACATTATAATTGTCACTCTTAATATGAGAAATAATTATGCTAGAAACAAAAATAGTATACTATTTGAAAGCTTTATTTTAATTTTAGGTACAAATATTTAATACTTAGTACGTGTTACATTTAGTATTTAGTCTAATTTTTAATAATACCCAATCCCCTCATCGATGTTCCTATTTGTTTTTGAATATTTATATGGGTGTTATAAAAATACAGAATATAAATCATATAATCTCATATAAATGACAGTGAATTATTTTTAACTTGCTGACAAAATATTCAAATGTATTTTTCGCCATAAATTATAATATTTTGAATATTTGTGAACAGATATTTTGAAACAGATATTTAAAATATTAGCGAGATGATATGAAATTAAAAATGGTGTTTTACAGGATTTAATATTTTGCCGGATTATGTTTTTTAATTATTATTTCTAATTCTTAGAAATACTAATATGTATGATATTTTATATCATAGGAATATTGTCTTTTCATATAATCTTCGAAGCATAATATTCGCATACTACAGTGATTGTGAATTTATATTTAATAAATAAACAAATGTTAGAAATTAAATTGATTGCCTTAAATTAATATTTTAAAACATTATTTATTCAAAACAATATATTTATTTGATAATATTTCAAAATCTCATTTTGCAATTTATTATGTTATTGCCAAACTTAAAAATACTGCTGAAAACACAAAATTTTGAAAACACGCGCTTAAAAAATTGTTACGAAATGAAAAATTATAAATATCACTCAAAATAGCATGCAAGTGCTTATTTGTTCATCTAGCTATATTAAAATATTATTTATTTACGATGATTAAGAAATATAGTTTAATTGTTTTATTAATTCTAAATTTCTGTGAATATTCATTTTGTTCAAACACGAAATGGATCAGGGAAAATGGGACCAATGAATATTTGCTAAGTAAGTATTTTGGACTAACAATATTCGATGAGCATCTAAAAGTAACTTTTAATATCATTAGCTTATAATAATGAACCAATTGAACCAAGTGACCAATGTGTAAAAAAATCTGAAAAGTTTCATGATGAGTTTAAATGGCAATGCTACACACACTGTGCTTACATCGGTTATGGCGTTGGTTGGTGTTTTAAAAAGGGCGATTCTGAGGAAATGGAATGCAAATGTGAAGGAAGTGGTTATTATACGAGAAATTCTTACAGACAGGAATGGGAAAATAAAAAGTACAAAAAAGCGGGAGGTTACGGAGGTAATCATTACCAACCGTCGTTATTTTCTTCTAGATGACCTTATTCTATATATTGCACAAAATTATGAAAGCAAAAAAATGTATTAATTATACAATATCTAGATGATCAACATCATGAAGATGATCAAACTGATGGTCATACCTCCCTTGGATCACTAGATATGGACCATGTAGATGAGGATGGTCAAGAAGATCAAAATGATCAAATAGGACACCATGATGTTGGATCAGAAGAGCATACAGAAGAGGAAGAAGATGAAGATTATGATGAAGGTGAAGGTTATGATGAAGGTGAAGATTATGATAAAGGTGCAGATTACGATGTGCATATTCCACCAGATGATTCGCATGGTAAATAAATGCGATATCCGCAGTATATAGACCATATCAGTTGAAAGTTAATATCATAACCATTTTACAGATTACGAGGGAAACGACAAAAGAATCCCATTCTACAATCCTAAGTAGCATTCAACTTTAAAATAAAGTTATATTAATATATATATATATATATATATAATTGAGAATTTTATTTTTTTATTCTAATTTATTTAAAAAAAAAACAAAATATATATAAAATAAAATAGCTGTTTTTATACAAAACTTTTTAATTAAAAAATCTACATCTTAACGTTACGTTATAATATCATTAGATTCACTATGAATGAAAAAAACTTAAAAATGTAATTTGGAGATTTAGTTTCAAGAATAATTAAAAATGTACTACAAAAGCAGCTTATAGAAAACGTAGTTTTGATTGTTTTTGAAATATATAAACATGATACTATTTATCATATTTCAAAATGATATTGTCACGTTGTTTGCTTGGTATTTAGTAAGATAATCGGAATGAAAATAAATTTGCTTAGCATATTAAAATATCGATCCTTAGTATTTATATTACAGTTTTATTGGAATCCTATTAAAATTTGTTTTTTACTTTCTATCTTTTGTTTTGTCTTTTGCTCTGTTGTTTCTTTATTTTTAATTATTGCCCAATATATTTAATAGTTCAGTACAATTTCAGAATCATATTATGATAGTATAATTTCATATAATTATATTATAAGTATAATTATATTAGGTGTATGATTATTTCCAATCTAAATTTGCAAGTATTTATATATAAATAAATAATTCAATTATAAATAAATAGATCAAATTAGATAATAAAAAAGATTTCGGTCAACCTATATTGATCAGCTGTAACTAAGTGCGCACTCCCGGGCGCGATCCCACTACCGTTCGTAACGGGGGCTCTTGGCTGCTTGGTTTACCATCTGGCCCGGTTCACCCCTCTTTAGCCAACCTGATCACTTCAGGCTCCCCTGAAGTAACCATGTTGATTACGAAGTTAATGCGGACGTCCAGTCAACATGAACAGTTTAGTTACAGATTTGCTAACCTCAAGGTTTCCACGAAATCCGACCTCCCATACACTTGGATTACAAGAGACGCCACTCTCT